GTGTGTGTGTGTGTGTGCAACATTTTGCAGTGAGTCGTTAATTTGCCGGTATCAGAATAAAAGAGTTGATGTAAGAGTTCCGACCTGTCAAGAGTGATTGAGTCATAAGCGAACTCTTTGGTTTGTAGGTGCCAGCATTGATGTTCTTTTCCCAGTGTGTAGTGAAGATAGCATCGGAGTCTGGTATGCTCCAGATCCTTCCCCCCCACCCCCTTCCTCCCTCTTTTCCTCTCCCCAATCCCCCTGCGCCCCTCGGTATGGTGACTATGGTCTGATACTCACAGAATATTCTGTTTTTTTTTTTTTTTTTTTGAAAAATTTGGACCATTTTTCGGTTTATGCGTGTCATACTTGCACAGGGGCCATGCTATGGTCTGATACTCACAGAATCATGTCAGAACGTTCTTTTTTTTTTTTCTTTTTTTTTCGGAAAAATTTGGACCATTTGCACAGGGGCCATGCTAATCTTCTCTGTATCGCTCCAATTTTAATGGATGTCCCGAAGGACACTCACAGAATATTCTGCCTTCAGTTGAGCATAAAGTGTCGGCCCTTCCCTTTCCCCTGCCGTCTCACTTCTCACACAGCCAGAAGCCTTCTTTCATTTTATCGTTCTCACTATATTTCCTTTCTTCATTTGAACACTGCAGTTGAGTGTTGTTAGGGCACAGACCCCTCAATGTCTATGTTTGTGCTATATGTCATAATAACAGTAGTCGTAGTCTCTGGGTTCTTTTTTTGTGCGATTGCTTGTTGTGAAACGGATTCCACCTTTTGCAGTAGCCGATGCAGATCCCAGGGCTCGATCCCTAGTCCTCACTTCACCTGTGTACAGTATTTGAGTCGACCCTGAGAGTTTGAACCCGTGACTCGTGTATTCGCAGTAGTTGGTAGGCTGTCGTAGGTCCGTAGGATGTAGGGGTTCGATCGGTAGACCTCGATCCCTAGTCCTCACTTCACCTGTGTACAGTATTTGAGTCGACCCTGAGAGTTTGAACCCGTGACTTGTGTATTCGCAGTAGTTGGTAGGCTGTCGTAGGTCCGTAGGATGTAGGGGTTCGATCGGTAGACCTGTCGTTTGTAGGTCTTAGCAGGGCCTAGGAGTCGTAGCTGTAGGCCTCTCAGAAGGGTCAAGTCGTAGCTGCTGTAGTCCGGAAAGGTCAAGGCCGTAGCTGCTACAGTACCGAAAGGCCAAGTCTACGGACTTCCAGAAAGTCCGGAAGTGGCCTTTCGGAACTTGCTCACGTTTAGACAGAGGCAAGTGGGCAAGTGGCGAGGTTCAATTGCAGTACGTCGGCAGTGCGACTGCGGTGAGTTGGCAATGCGTCTCCATGCAGTCATTGGTATCAGTCCCAGTCGGTCAGGGTCCAGTCAAGCAAGTACCGTGTGGGACTGTGTGCACCCAGGGCCTGGGAAAGGGGCAGACCAACAAGCTACAGAAGTATAAAGCAAGAGGCAGCGACCGGTCATTCATTCATTCGCTGCATAAGCCATGCGGGAGCGCTGCTACAGCGTCTTGTGCGAAGGTGGTCTGCAGGTTGCCCGAAGACGAAGTGGGCTGAAGGGAGATCGTAGCCATAGTCAGTAGTGGTAGTGCGGCCATAGCCGCTGTAGGAGGAAGTGAGACTAAGCGTGTGTGTGTGGTGGTATTCAGGGTGATCCAGAGTGAGCGTGTGTGAACAGTGGGGTTGGACACAGCGACGAAGGTTGGGATGTTCAGGCGCCGATGCGCCATAGCCTGTTGAAGTGAACTTGCATCTGAACCGTGATCTTGATTTCCATACCTCTAAGCTTTGAGTGGGCGCCCTGTGCCAGTGTGAATCTCCATCTGTTTGCATGTATGTGAAGAGGAAGTGAAAGTGAGTCTGATTGCAGTTGCAAATGTATGCGTTTTTTTCGTTCTTAAGGATGTAGAATCTGTAGACCCTTACCTTCCTGTATTTGTCTGATTCCATGTCAGGAATGATCTGTTGATGAACAGTTGACATGTGTGTCTACCATTTAGCCTCATGGGCTGAATAATGCATTCCTTCTTCTATAAGTCACAATTGCAAACAGTAGTTGCAGCCTCTCAGACTCCGTCAAGATCAATCTCTAGTGCAATGCAGGACTGCAGCGGGCCTGCGCTACTGTGTGGATCCGTCTCTCTTCCCCCCCCCCCCCCCCCCCCCCCCCCCCTTGTATTCTATCTGGATTCGAACTTACGCCCATTAATCAACAGCTCATAGGTGCATGTATCCGTTTTGATTTCCAATTCCTGACCTTTCTGGCTGTCAGTGCCTGTCACACTACTTCCCGGCGATCGATTCCGTTTGTAGTACTTTGTACTCAGACATATTGAGTGTGCGGTCAGAGTTGCAAGCTGAAGAGAGTTCTCTCTTTCTCAGTGCGACCGGACTTCTGAATCACAGAAGGAATTGTGTGCAGGACGGATGGTTTGGGATGAAACCCGGAAGGAATGAACCTGATAAGGGGAGAGCGGTATCGGTATCTTCTTATCAGTAGTGCCTACCGAGTTGCATATGCCTACATTTTACCTATCCCCGACACAATTCTTTGTCTTCCACCCTCCTCCTCCTCCTCTTCCTTTTCCTCCTCCTCCTCCCTGTTCCTAGGCCTTATCCTACCGGATCTCTATTCTATCTGTTCAGTATCTACCAGGAAGATCGAAATGTGACACTATGATATAAAAGAGAATGGATGTGGTACTGCGTCAGCCGAGGCATGTGAATTCTTTCACTCCCACCGGCCTAATTTCAAGGTCCTTCGAGAATAAGTTCTTTGCCTAAGGCTGCCCGGTGAAAAATCCGCAATGCCCATAAACATAAAGCTATAAGAGTTTGGCGGCGGCGATTTGCCAGTAGCTGTCATTGCCTGTCAAGACTTTGCTTAAGAAATGGTTCGTCGGGTTGACACGACAATGACAACATTAGTAGTGTTCCTGTGACATTCATATATCCCCCTACGTGCTTGCCGAGAGTGTGAGACAATGTGGAGCGCTGTCTCGCGGCGTTGGTCTTTGGGGAACCACCTATCCTTCTCTGGATCTTGGTATTGTCATCTGACTCTATGGTGCGTTCGATATCATAGTCGCCATCTATTATAAGTCACTCTTGAGACTGCCAACTCATCTAAATCTTCTCCGTTTACCCCTAAGTGTTTTTTTTTACTACGACAAATAAAATGCCAAGTGTCTCCCTTATCTATCATGACATCCACTCTTATCTTATCAATTTGTACATTTGCAATCAGTAAGTGTTATAGTGTTTTCGTTTTAATGGCCCAGACTTCATAAAGAGTAAGAAGTTCCTCGCCTACACTCAAGAAATCTTGCAACAAGTGACCTTAGGACAACTATTTGAACGGTTGGCTACCTCAACATTTGCCTTGGTTTGTGAGTGGTAATGGTTTTTTTCTATTTTTGCGTTATTCTTACCAACACTTGCAGGCCCAGCAGAAGCAATTGTTACCATGGTCACTCCTTTTTTATTCAAATTGGTTTTGTTGTTGCAGTTGTATCGGTTGGTTCAAGTGTAGGTAAAAGAGCATGATGTGACCTGCCCGACCACATTTTAAACATAAGTTGTCTTTGATTGTCGC